CCCCCCCCTCTTTCCTCCTCTTCTTCTCCGTTATTCTTCCTTTCTACCTTTTCTTGAGCCGACAGTCTTTCGGAAACAGCCTTTCTACCTCTCCAGGTAGGGGTAAGTTCCGCATACTCACTACCTTCCCTAGACCCCACCTGGTGGATTATACTAGGTATGCTGTTGTTAGTTAGTTAATTTTATTATTAAATAACTATGTTTGTATGACTTGAAAAATATTGGAACAACCAATTATTAGGGTTATGGGACAGTGATACTGCTTGGGGCTGGACTTGAGTTAGATTGGCAAATGAATTATGTTCCTCTCATGCTTGGTCGAACACTTAAAGGATCCATTTATGGTGGCATTAGAACTCGCACAGACCTTCCATTTGTATTTGACAAATGTATTAACAAGGTATGAATTACTAGAAAATATTTGCTATATTTGAGAACAAGGGTCAAATTATCTAATTTTTAGTGTGAACTTAAACATCATTTCATTCAAAAAAATTTAAAAATTAAAACTTATATATTTCAAAAATTACATAGTATTAGAGATGTTTGGAAATGCTAAACCATGTAGCCAAACAAAAGTTGCTTAACTTCTCAAATATTAATGATGTCATGTAAAATGGAACATAAAATAGTTTAAGAAGGCGAAAAAAATCATTGTTTTTATATAAACTAGCAATATATCATGTTTAATTTCTCAAAAAATTAATAATGTGATATGAAAAAGTACATGCAAACATGTCCAATGGCTGCATAATCTAATTTTATATCTATAGAATTTGTAAAATAGACCATATAATGTATTGAATTTTTCTGCCAAATGTTTAGTAGTTTGAAATAACACACAAGCCATTTTTAATTAAATCTTGATTTATATATGCATATTGAATATAAGTTTTTAACACTTTCTGCAGGAGATCAAACTAGATGAATTATTGACTCATGAAGTTTCACTAAATGATATAAACAAGGCATTTGAGTACTTGAAAGAACCAAATTGCGTGAAGGTTCTTATCAAGTTTTAATCTCTCCAAATATTCCTATATTTGGTCTTTATTTTTCTCCTTCTACAACAATAGTGTAATGTAGACTATGATCAAGCTTGTAATGTTCTTTGCCTTCTTTTTTTTTCCCTTAAGATGTTTCTAGTTAGGATTTGATTAACGGATCATTTGACTCCGAAACATAAAGTAACAAGGCAATACCCTACTTGCGCCCTACTTTAATAAGATCAGAATGAGCAGTGAACTTTTACTGTACCTCGAGGATCGACTTAATCTTGAAATGGCTTCTATTTTTTGTGATGGATAATGAACTTACTATGTTAAGGTGTGTGTACTAGTACTAAAGATTTAGTTTAAGGGATTGTAATGAAATTTGTGCTCTAAACTACGTTGGTTCTTTTGGGAAATAACAAAAGAATTTGGTAACGTTTAAGATAGATACTAGCTTATCAATATGCAAATTGGATTGACCTCTTTCGTAGTACAGTAGCTAATCATTTATCCCCTTCATATTAGGTTGGGCAGCCCGGGCACATAGCATCCCGCATTCATGCAGGGTTCGGGGCCGCACCCAAGGGGTATAATGTAGACAGCCTACCCTACTGCAAACATCAGTGCGTATCTGATTCCACTGCTTCAACCCGTGACATGTAGGTCACATGGAGATAAATTTACCGTCACTCCAAGACTCTTCTTCATTAGATTGATATATGAAAAAGGATAATCACAGTTAAGTATTTCCAAGTTCCTTAAATTTTGAACCAAGTTCCTCTTTCAATTTAACCATGCTTGGTCTGAAAACATTTGAGGTGAATCTGTGGGTTCTACTTCAAAAGCTCATGACCTTATCAAAGAGTTTAGTTTACAACAACAACAACAAACGCAGGAAATCACACTGGTGCAAACGCAGTGAAATCCCACAAGTGGGGTCCCGAAAGGGTAGTGTGTATGCAGACCTTACCCCTACCTTGTGTTTCCGATAGACCCTTGGTTCAGTATAGTCGCAGCAACAAAGAGTTTAGTTTGTGTAGGAAAAAGTTATTGGAACTGAAAGATGATCATATCTAGCAGAGTATCAACAGCAATGATTAAGATCCACATTATAGGAGTAACTTCAATTGGTACCCTCAAATATATCGTCAGACAAATGTCTTGCATTCATTTGTTCGCGAACCAGTTTTTTCCTTGTTGCAGTTGTCTCAACTTACTGTTGACAAAAAAGCCAATCTTAAATGGCCAACTCGGGAGAAAATTGACAGCCAAACATTTCCACAATAACATTAGCAACAAGCACAGAAGTTGCCACTTCCGTGTATACTATATATACGCACACACATGTAAATCTTAAAAATGTTACTGCTGAAAGTTCTACCTTAAAAAGACTTGTTTATCTGCAATATTTCAACAGGTAGGAGGAAGGACTTGAAAAGCTGTTGTTGTTGCTGCCAAATTTGGTAGTTTCCTTTCCCTTTCCTGGAATTCCACATTCATTAAAATCGAGTGTTCGTCTCTCACTCTGCAGAGGAAAGATATATAATCAGATACACAGATCCTAGTTTGTCATTCTGCTGCTATAAATGCGAGACAGGGACATAGCTATGTTCCGCGTGACATTTGAGAGAAAAGATTTTACTATATTAAAGACTATATGAAGCTACAAGAAAGCTGTGTTCCTAATAAGTCATAACTTACAGTAGAATGATAATGATGGTCAAGTGTTTTAAGTAAAAAACTGCAAGGTTACTGTTTAAAACATGCCAATAAATTAGTATAGGATATAAAAGACGAGAGAAAAAATGGAGAGGAGAAATGTTTTAAATAGATTACTGTAAACATAACGATTATGCAAAAATAACAATATGTATGGGATATGAAATGTTTTCAGATCAAAAGGAAGCCCGATGCACTAAGCTCCTGCTATGCGCGGGTCCGGGGAAGGGCCGGACCACAAGGGTCTATTGTGCGCAACCTTACCCTGCATTTCTTCAAGAGACTGTTTCCACGGCTTGAACCCGTGATAAGGAAGATAAAGGTTTTAAATAGATTACTGTAGTTAAACATAACGATTTTGTAAAAATAACAATATGTATGGGATATGAAAGACGCGTTTTCAGATCATTTGTATAAAAAATTCGTAATATGCTTGAATTTGGGACCAGACGTACCGTAGCATTTGAAGCCAGAAGGGTACAATTTTCATCTGCTTTCGGTTTTTTGGAATTCCTTTTCGACAAGTTTGTTTCTGGAGTTTCACTTCCCAAGATCTGATGGGCATCTGCAATTGAAGGTGCTGTCTGCTCACTTAATTGCTTCATTAACCCAATAGCATCATAGCTTCTGTCACCCGGGCTCATAAAAAGGGCAAGATCCTATCCAAGTAAAGAAAACAAACAAACAAATCAAAGCACTAAAACATGAGCATAGAAACGCACCGTTATCACAAAAAGGGCATGAACACATAAATATGAAAAGAACTGACAAACACTATGATATTAGTAACAGAGTAGAACAAATAATGTATATACCTCAAATTCAAGTTCTGTATCATATCTTGTGCTTGGCGGAAAAGAACTCATGAACCATGGAGATTTCCATGCTGAAGGAGATTCAAAACTCCTTTTAAAAGGTGTCTCTCCAAATCTGTAAACCAATCATTAGGTAAATGGACCGATAGGAAAAGGTTTGTAGACAATAAATGCTATGTGGAAAGAGAAGTGACAGAAAGCAACGGAACAAAACATTTCAGTAATCTTACATGCTTAAAGTCTCAGCACCAAATCCATTTTCAGAATCTTCAGCTGTATTCTCCAAAGCAGTTGATGTAGCTATGACAACACTGCCTCTATGCTTCCCACATATGTCAGGAGAGCATACAACAGACAAGCATGAAGTTTCAAAAGAGGACGAAACAGTAACTTGATTTGATGCAGCTTCAAGTCGTCTAGCATACTGCCTACCCAGAGCTTTATTACTTAGACTTGTAGCTCTATCACACTTGATTAAGAAACGATCAGGAGAAAAGAACAAGTCATTTGAGCTAAGCTCAACCAGCACTCCAGGATGCTGTTTTACCTGATACCAGGAATCAGAACTCAAAAGCTGTAACTAAGTTAAAAAGAGGATACAACAACAACTATGCCTCAATCCCAAATAAGTTGAGGTCGGCTATATGAATCCTCACTTTTTCAGTTAAACTCAACTCATCTCATCATCATACTAAATAAAATAAAAGTAAAGAAAAAGGTTAATTATAATTTTATATATATATATACACACACACACAATAGTAACAATAATAGTATTAGAAGTTCTAACATAATAACAAGTCTAAAATCTATTCCCAACTAGTAGATGTCACCTATTTCTTCCATCCTCTAAGTTAAAAACGAGGATGCTTAGGTAAGCTGAATGGGTTTTATAAACCACATGGTTCAATCAGCCAAGAGCAAATTTGCCTGAATCACATTAAAAACTTAAAAATTGACTTTGAAAGAAATGCAAATAGCTGAAACAGAAGTGATGAATATCGAACTATTCAGCATCCCAAGACTATCTGTAACCAAGAAAATGTAGCCAGTGGAGAGCTCTGAATAGTAAATAGAGACTTCATTCACTAAGTGAGATTTAGTAGTCTGACTGTGAAATCGCCGGGATATACTTCTTTACAGAAAAATACTATCTTGAATGGAGGTCCTAAACTGTCATGCCATCAACCCCATTCCCAAAAACAAAAAGAGTGATGCCAGAGAAGAAAAATGTAATGACAAATTTTAACTCACCATTCCCGTTGCATCATTGGCTCCAGAAATTTCGCCCTCCTCTTTTCTTCCATCTTCTGAGGATGGATGTAGATTTTCTTTGTCTTCCATAGATGCTTTTTCATTTGCTGACTCATCAAACATATCGTCTGGTCGGGAAAAGTTTGTAGACATATTATAGAATGATTCCTGATTGAGATTGCTTTCAAGCTTTTTCTCACATCTCTTTTCTGACAAAGGCGACAGTAAATGACGATGTCGCTTCTTTAGTATAGAAGGTGTCCCTGTAAAAGTTTTGGCAGCACTTTTCAAGATAGCATCTGGACTATCATCTCTTGATGGTGAATCCCACAACCTTAATGGAGTAAGGCAGTTCGCCGAAGTCATCATCAACTGCCGGATGCCAAAAGGGCTATACTCTTCCTGTGTATCTGAACCAGATTGTATAAGATCACAACAAAAGAAAGGAACATCCGAGCTTGGAAAACGAGGAGGGTCATAGCATAAAGCTCCTCCATCTTTCTGCTCTTCTTGTACAAATGAATTTTCATTCAGCAGACATGTTTGAACAGTGTTTGATGTAGTTGAGCCAATATCATTCACGGGAACTATCCTTGAGGAATCTTTCATATGATCTGGGCCTTCAAGCGGAGGATTATGGAACTGATTTAAAACAATGTCAAACACAGACGATCTATCCTCTGAAGAAAATTGTGAAGGAACAGAAAATGGCTGATGGAATGAAGCTTCAAAATCATCAAAATTTAAAGCATTGCAGTTTTGTGGAACCATATCTCCTGCTTCAGGGATCTGATAGTTTGATGATTGGTAAAATAAAGAATATGAAGGTTGACCACAGCCATTAACCCCAGTTTCAGACGGAGAGCATTGAGGAATTCCTTCCTCGGGGTATACCATCATGGAACCGTCCACAGAAACAAACATTTCGTTGGGCTTATATGGATCCTCAACCACGTTTCCTACATTAGCAGTTGCTACCATGTCATGGTTGTCGTTGCCAGTTAAACAGTGCACGGAAATCCCTGAAGATTCCTGAATAAACTCCGGAGGAGAAATATTAGGTATGTCATCCCTATTAAACTGCCAATCTTCTTCCATGGAATTGCCCCAGTCATGTGATAAATTATGCTCAAGGAACTTGGAATCCGCAAGTTCACTAGGAACTTTTAACATTGAACAAGAAACATCTTGAAAAACTGGGCTATAGTTCCTACAACATGGAGCAGTGCTGGAGGTTGCATCCTTTTTACAAATTGATTCCTCCGACATCCCACCGTTCTCTCTTATATGCACAAATGTGTTGCCCAAGTCACTTGTAGACTGAGAACAGCCAGCAAAATTCGAGCCTTGACTGCATTCAGGCACTTCCTCCGCTTCCATTCCTTCTTTGTGAACGCTTTCATCTTCACTATTTTGTTGCAACGTCATAGAAGAAGAAGGGACTGATTGGTTCTGATGGTTGACATTAGGCAGAGCAGAGAACTGTCCAAGTAGACCTGATGCCGAATATGAGTCCAGTTTCTTTTTAACAGAACTATCCTCCGCTTCTGTTCCTTCTTTGTGAACGCTTTCATCTTCACTATTTTGTTGCAACGTCATAGAAGAAGAAGGGACTGATTGGTTCTGATGGTTGACATTAGGTAGAGCAGGGAACTGTGCAAGTAAACCTGATGCCAAATATGAGTCCAGTTTCTTTTTAACAGAACTATGCCAATGATTCTTTATTGCATTGTCACTCCTGAAATTGACCATAAGATTTTTCATGTTATAAGGAGCTTTGAAAGAACTCTCTGAACAAGAACTCAAAAGAAAATCAAGACGGAAACAAACTCTTGTTGGCATAAAAGTAACACCTCAAAAATACCTTCCATGCAAAACTTTTGCTAACTCTGCCCACTTGTTTCCATAAACTTGGTGGGCACGAATTAGAGTCAATTCCTCCTCTTGTGTCCAAGGTTCTTTGTTTATTGCAGGATTCAGATGATTGTGCCACCTGAAAAGATCATTCATTAAAGTTATTATAACATTCTTAATCATATAAGCAGATGAATTAAAAGCTTATTTTTTCAGGGAGTGACTTGCAACCTCTATGTCAATAAATCAAAGGAAGTAGAAAAAATGTGACCCCTACAGAAGTCCTATGAAGTCAAAGGATACACATTATAAGTTATATTTCCAAAATAAGAAGTAACAAATATTCTTGGACAGCAAGTGGCAGTAGTTATCTGCCTTCAGCTTATCATGCCATCAGCATTCATATATTTAAGGTTTTAGGAGGTTTGTTGAGTCATTAGCCGAGGAACAGTGATGGTAGGCTAGAAACCCGTATTTTAGTCATAGTTTGCACTCTAATCACTGCATTTTACTTGGAGTTGAGCTTAAATAATCGTGATTTGCGCTTATTACGTGTTTTATGCCTTGCAGGAAATGATTCCGATCTATTAAGATAATTTGGAGTTAATTTAAACAAGTTGGAGCTTTGAAGTCCGAGTAAAAGCCCAAGAAATTAAGCCGGGATCATGTTCGAGGGTCGAGGACAAAGTTTGGATGTCAAAAAGTGAGAAAACAAAAATTACTCTAAGAAAACTGCACTACCATGCCGCGCCATGCGTAGCGGGGCACGGGGCGCTAGTGCAAAATTCCTGCAGAGTGTAAAAATCAACTCTCTGAACTTCTCCACAGGCGCACCGTGTGGGGCGGCGTGCCATGCGCTGCGCATGTGCAAATTTTATAGAGTATTTTTCCTACTTCGGCTTGGAAAGGATAGTTTTGCCCGGGACCATTCCTACATGGTATAAATACATCAAAAACACAATTTTTAAAGGATTTTTGACCTTGGAAGCTTTGGGAGAGCATTGGAGGCTAGAAAACACAAGATTTCATCATCTTTCCATCAATTCATTACGGGAGTTTGGATTATAACTTTATATTGATGTTTTCTTACTCGTTAATTATATTTGTGATGACTTCCTCCATGATTATGGAGTAGTTTACCTTAGAGTTTGACGGATATGGTAGTTTGATTAATATTTGTGGATTTCAACTCTAGCTCTTGCTTGAATTCGTTTATGAAGTTTTGAATTGTTGCAACTTTATTCACCGGTTTATTTAATCGAAAGAGGAATATTTTGGTGATTATCTTTGCATTATTTTGTTTGATTTAATTTTGTGATTCTCTTAAGTAATCGAAAGAGCTTGTTGAATTGTTGATTAAACCAAGTTAGGAAAATATTCGAGAGACGTTTTCCTAAAGACTAATCCATTAACGCATGCTTGCATACCTTCACAGTGCTTATATTCTATGTTGCGCGGACTCTCCAAAATGTAGCCGCACTCGTGTCGGATCCTTCAAAAATGCACTACTTTTGGAGGATCCGACACGTATCCGGCCACATTTTCGGAGAGTCCGAGCAACATAGCTTATATTAGTTTACCTCGTAGAGTTAAGACTTAATCGAGAGAGGAGTCTTGACTACACGTTTGAACTAATTATCGAGTGAATTCGCGAGAATCATTAGGACATTAGGTGAATTAAACTAGAGTTAGATCCCAAATAGCTATCTTGCACATATCCTGTCAACACCCTTATTTCTCACATTGATAAAAAACTAACTCTGCTAATCTCTAGTTCTTTGCAGTCAATTGTCAGTTGCTTTATTTTTAATAATTACTTGTAGTTCGTAATCAATTCAAATCAAGTTTTGATCATCCTGAATAGCAGCTAAACTAGAAACTACTAGAGCATTATTTAAATCCAATCCATGTGGAGACGATAATTATACTATACTATCTTTGGCTAGCGAGCATCAATTTTGTGTTGTGTTTTGTGCTCGTCAAACAACATCTAACTAGTTAGTGAAAAGGGTTCGGGTAGGAAGATATCAGTCACATACGCTTGAAAAATGAATGTTCTTTGCAGGAAGAATGCATAAAAGTGCGCTTGTGATGTCAAAAGAGCAGCTAGGAATGCAAAATTCTCATTGAATTGAGTGAGACCATAATGTCAAATTAGCAAGCAGAAACTCCACAAGCTACACCTCTTGACATTTCACTTGCCGAACATATTCTGAAAACTTTGGAATTTTATCATAGAAGAAAAAAAAAGATACATTGAATCATTAGATAAACAGAAAATTGCCGTGCTTACCTTTCCCGGCATTGCTTTCCAATACGTCCTGCTAACTCTTGTGCAATGGTGGACCATTTTTTGGGGCCATATCTGTTCACTAATTCGATTAGTTTATCATCCTCCTGCATATAATTCAAAAGAGTTAAATTAGCATACATAAGGACATGGATTACAGGTTCTCAAGAATTGTACTTCCTCTGCCCCAAAAATAAAACGCTGGTCAAAACATCTAATTTTCATTCTCAATTCTGTCAATGGTTTCCGAATTCTTTTTTAAAATATAAAACTTAGGTATTAAAAATAATACAAGTCATAAATTGTATAATTATAAAATTTAGAAACTGTTTGAATAAAATCATAGTTTGACTCCCAAAATAGTATAGTGTCATATAAAATGAGACCAAAGGAGTACTAACATATCATTCAAATAGGCTAATAGGAATACACAGTGTTTTACCTCCTTAGTCCATGAGCCTTTGACAAGTTCAGGATCAAGAACTTTCTGCCACCTGTGCAAGCATTGCACATCTGTCCGGTCCTTAAAACATTCCGCTGCAAGTTAAATCTTAGATTTTGTAAGCATTCAATGTTTATCATTTTTCATGAAAAATATAACTAGCTAAATGAGTAGAACAAATAGGGCAAGTTAGCAATGAATAGTTGTTGCAGAAGCTGATAACAACCCAAGTCTTAAGCTATCAGATGTTCATGATTCTGGCCTGAGTTGGAGTTGGTTTCCTACCTGCAACTGTCAGTTTTAACAAGTAACACTTACTAAGAAAGGATAGAAAGTGCGTTATCGCATGTCAAATGGAGAAAAAAATGTGGATACTACAAGTTACTTTATGTTTTGAAGTATTGTTATAGGAAAAGATCGAAGAATTGTCCAAAGCAAAGATGGAATTTCCCTTCCAGTAAAGGAGGCATTGTTTTTTAAATGATCCTTACAGAAAAGAAAGAGACATTCAATTTGGGAAAGGAGAAAAAGAAACACAGAAAAATCAAAAGAACTAAACAAACATAAAATGAAACCCCTAAGTTTAATCCCTCTATCACTCATTTGAGAGAACTCTAGATCTTGCTGAAAATATGAGCAGTACACGCCCATAGTGCGTAAGACGTAGTAGGTTAAAGAGAAGAAAAGAACAATGTTTTTACCAATCCTTTTCCAGCTTTTCCCCTTAAACTGTTGGACAGCTTGGCGCAAGATTTCATCCTGAAATGGATAAAGAAATTTGCACTGTAATACAACATAATTGAGATAAATGTAAACTCACCACATTAATACATAAGAATAATGTATGGTCTTTGACAAGTAATTCACCACATTAAAAGTTTAAAGAAACACTACCTTCATAAGAAGGAAGAGTTCAGCTTAGGGTTTTAGAAGTGAACCATAAAAGTCCAGAACTAATATATTCAGAAAAAGTTACTAAGATGAGCTTGTACAAGCTTTTGACTGTTTTTGGCTTCTCCTTTATACTAAAACCATGACTTTGCAGTTGCTAGCCAAAGCATTTTCCAGCATTTATTTTTGGGCCTTGATCTACATTCATTGAGATCATTAGTGGAAGGCAAAAGAGAACTAGAATTACTCAATCCCCCTTGACCAAGAAACAATTCTGGTACAAATTTAAATACTATAACAAATATAAAACAAACAGAATTAAGTAGCAATAATTTTGAACTTTGGTTTGAAGCATCATTGTTTTCTCCTCAAAGGCTAAGCTGCTCGGACTCTCCCAAAATGTCTCCAGGTGCGTGTCGGATCCTCCAAAAGTAGTGCATTTTTGGAGGATCCGACACGGTGCGGTAGCATTTTGGAGCGTCCATGAAACATAGCTCAAAGGCAATAGACAAGCAATTTTAATCGGCTACCAGCATTATGCCATGTTCATATGTCATGGTGTTCTGAATTTCCATACTAGGAACAGATCACCACCCTCCTACCCCCTAAAAACAGATAGAGCTAAACTATTTGAATCCTTAACACAGCATATTACATTATATATACACGAAAAGTGGGGGAAAAAAAAGAAGAAAAGAACCCGAGTTTTAACCCCAAAAGCAAAAGAACATAAAACTAAAAAGAAAAACACTGAACAAATGCATATGTTTGCTAATTCATTAGGAAAAGCCTGCTTAGAGCTTACCTCCTCGGGAGTCCACTGACTGGAACGTCTCTTAGGACCACTCGTCCTCCTGCAACATTAGAAAGAAATAATAAAAAATTCCGCAAACTTTTTGAAGTGAACTTTTCTGAAGTTCAAAATAACAACAGAAAGGGTGTGAATATAATAATCCTCCCAAAGCTCACAATCAAGTATAAATTTCAAAACAGTTCAAATTATTTCATGGTAAGTATAGAACAAAGTAAACTGAACTGACTAGTAATATTCAAGCAAATAGACAGATCATCTAATGTCCCCAAACATCCAAACTAGACAGCCAATTTATGAGAAGAACTATCAACCTTTAACGGATCTCATGAAGCACCAGAATTCCTAGTGTACTTTGTCAAAGATTAGCAAAGTGTATTATAGCAGAGCAAAAAGGCTGTGTTACCTTGACCCTTAAATTGAACATTAGGAAGTCATTTTTGACATTGAAAATTATAGATACTAATGAAAATTATATCTTGTCTGAACATATGTTACAGAGGTAACACAACAAACTTATTCTGGCTTCTTCTCCTACATCTCCATCTACTTTTTTTAAGCATCTCTGATTTCTAACTACTTAGGAAAAAGTCAAAGAAAGTCAATGTGACTTGGTGAATTACCCGTGCGAAGGCTGAACTCTTTGCAGACTACTGATATCATCTGAAGGCGTCGTGCTGGTTTTATCACTTTCCATGGTCAAAGACAAAGGCAAATCTGGATAATCCAACATCCAAAGGTCGAAAACTCTCTCCAAAATGTCTTCCCAAATTCATTATGTGTCACACCTTAAGATGTAAGAGATCCTACCTGATCTAATGACAAAATAAGATGAACTGTTAAAGCACAACAGATAACGTGATAGTTGCTATGAAGCTGATCTAGCAAAGCATGAAATAAGAACATTTGTAGAATTTCCTTGGAGGAAAAATGAGAGAAGAAAGTAATTTATTATCCCATCAATTAATATGCCAGAACTGCTTTGTCATGAATCAACCAGATATGGTAAATTCAAGCATTACGATGGTTTCATATGAAGCTAAATTGTCAGAGTCAGTAGCCTGGATTACCACAAAAAAACTTAAACAAAACAAGGAAAGTCCTTATTCCTAGCACCAGAAAGTAGTCTATGCAATGAATTTTTTTCTCAAAATTCAGAACTAAAGCCAAAAGATACTTTTAGCCTCTGATTATGCATATGTGTAAACATTTTCAATTTAACAGAAACACGAATCACTATTTATCCATCCCTTTCCTGCTCATCTATTGATCAGAAAACCTCAAGTTTGTGTACTGAAAAACTACAAGGCAGAATCAAGCAAGCAGAATATATCAAATACAAGAACATTCTGGAGCAAATTAGCGTCCTCTAAATACTAGCTAAATATTTAAAATGAACTCTCATAAATTACAACAAAAGGTCAAAAGAAAACCAGGAAAGCTACTTAATCATTGGTCTCTACATCCAAATGCAAGCTACACAAAGGCTCCTTTTTCCAATAATCAAGAGCTAGCACCAAACAACTAATCGTTGGTCTCTACATCTAAATGCAAGCTACACAAAGGCTCCTTTTTCCAATAATCAAGAGCTAGCACCAAACAACTAATCGTTGGTCTCTACATCTAAATGCAAGCTACACAAAGGCTCCTTTTTCCAATAATCAAGAGCTAGCACCAAACAAGAAACTATTCATCCCCTATCACAGAACATTGTGGATAAAATTTGCATGAAAAAAAATCACAAGGCACAAGTCAGCTGTACAGAATTTTGCAAATATTCTGAGTCATCTGAACACTAGCATGTGAAAACCCCAATTGAGCGGACATATTTGATCTAAGACACAAGAAAAAGAATCTCATGGGTGCACCAAAAACTAACTAACAATAATAGATCATCCCTTACATGTACAAAAGTTAATTTTTCATCACTCAAAAACACTGCTATTTCTCTTCTTTCACAGGATTCACATGTTGGCAATGGAGCAATGTCTCGTCCCAGCATCTTCTCTTCCTTCTTCTAAAGACCCAACTATGTAGGATGTCCTTTCACTACACTAGCTAACATATGTAATCTTTCTCTTCCTCAAGTTCTCAATGTCTGAGTCGGTCCCCTTACTACCATGCAAACGAAGAAGTTCACCTGCGCGCACTAGGAATTCAAACTGAAATATGCGGGAAGCCCAACTCCTCCCTCACAAAAAGCCTATGGTAATAAAATTTAGTTAGAATGTGTAATCACTTCTCAACCCCCTAGTGAGTATCTTTTTTTGTTTGTAGAGGGTTTTCACCAATCTCACAAAATGTCTATGATGAGATAAAGATTAGGACTTGGGATCAATAAAATATTCAAAATTGAAGTTTAATGGAACTAAGTAAAAATGATAATTTTAAATCTATAAATTTCCCCATTAACTAGGTAACTCTCTTTCTGCGTCCCAACTAATATTGACATTTCATCCTTTTTTTTTCCTCTTCTGATAATAAACTTATAATCTTACCTTCATATGCCACTACTACACCAAAGTAAAGCCAAAGCTTTCTTAAAAAGTTAATATTGCTGCATTCTTCTTAGCTCAAAGCTGAAAAAGCTGAACAACTTATATTGTCATCATCAGAACCACCAATGTTCCAAAACATTTGTATCCATTTTTTGTTTTATAGGACGATTGCACTAAAGCTTTCTGTTGATGATACTGATATATTGTCTCTTTTCTCTCTTCGTCTTCTTGAGCCAAGGGTCTTTCGGAAACAACCTCTCTACTCTCTCGGGTAGGGGTAAGGTTTGCCTATACACTACCCTCCTCAGACCCCACTAGTAGAATTTTACTGGGTCGTTGTTGTTGTAGTTGACAATTGCACTAAGCCAAAGACTAACGTAAAAATAGTTTGATCATAAATGAATCCACTGAATGGTGAATTTGTCGGAATATGAAATGGACATGAATAGAGTGGAATTGATAAAGGAATTTAAGCTCTATGAATTGACGTTGTAAAAAATATTTACACAATTAGGTCACATAAAAGATAATTGCAATGATTAGTAAGCTACACATATATTTACACAATCAGGTAAAAGTTTGCGATGGAGGCTTAAGTTGATCGATCGATCTGATCTGATGGGTAAGTAAAATTAGAAAATTCAAATTTGAGACAGAAAAGAAATTACATATATGAGACACTAAGCTAAATGAACAAAAAGCACAAAAATTTAATCCATCAAAAGAAAACCCATACACAGAAAAGTAAAACACTTAATCAAACTAAAATCAGATCACTTCACTAGGTATTCATTAATTCAATCACAAACCCAAATTAGGATTCAAGAGGCAAATTTTATATGAAAACTATTGCAAAGATTTGACCTTTTTTTTCAAGAATGCAAGAAATCATCAATAATAATTCGAACTACAATAATAAAGCAATTAAATTTCAATCAAAAACACCAATCAGATATGCTGCGAGGAACATTTAAAAAGGTGTACTCACCAATGGTACGATGAACTCGGTGCACATTAGAGAGAGAATGTGTGTGTGTGTGAGAGAGAGAGAGAAATGGTTATAGGAATTCAAATTGTTAGGACTTAGGACCGGTTGACGGTAAATTTTTTGTAGACGAGATAATCTCAGCCGTTGATTGTTTCTATTTTTGGTAACTTTTTTCAAAAATTTCAAGTGCAACGGTAAGTTCTACTTGCTACCGCTTTTATGGGTCTTCTTTTCTCTTTTTCTTTTGAAGGAGTATTAAATAATACTTCTGTATATTATTTACTAACTTTATAATTGCATCTTGATTAATTTTTTTGTGTGTTTAAAATTTTTTCACGAATAATTGTAAAATTTATCAAATTTAAATTAGACTTTTCTTCTATGTTTAAATTCAAATTCAAAAACCGTAACAAATTATTAATAACACATAGTGCATAATTTATTTAATTTAAAAATTAATTATTGCCTAACATAACTAATTTTGTCCTAAAATTATCAAATGACTTTTTATTATGTTGTCATTTGACTCATCACCTCCGATGCATCTGTCTCTATTTCTATTGAAAATAGGTTGTGATCCAATATCGCATGTAAACCTTGCTGGAGGGCTTGGAGCTCCACCTGAGTAAAAGATAATGTTGACATCTTTTTGGTGAATGCCATAATCTAGGAGCCTGCACTGTTTCTTATTACGCCTGCATTGGTATAAATACGAATATTGATTTCTTAATTGTTTAAAGAAATCAGAAATTTTCTATTGTTTAAAGCAATTATTGCAAAATATTTGGAAAAAAATCTTATTCAACGGACAATACTTAGAGCCTGTTTGACCAAGCTTGTGGGTGGCCGAAAGCACTATAAAGCACTTTCATATTGCAAAAGGCATTTTTCAAATAAACTGGCTAAACGCAAATTATTATTTTTCAAAAGTATTTTTTTCTTTTCGAAAGCATTTCCTTAAATAAGTCATTTTTTGCAGCTTGACCAAACAGGTTGTTAGTGATAGTCAATTTCCATTGACAAGTAACAAAAATTCATTGTTAATCTTATTTAGTGGGGCATTATCAAAACATCTTATTTTTTACGAGCTACTTAGCGACAAATTGGATTGGCAAATAAATCGTAGATAAGTTCAATTTTTTTTTTTTTTTTTTTTTTTTTTTTTTTTTTTTTTTTTTTTT